AAAAAAAAAAAAAAAATAATAAAACAAAACATATCATAGTAAAATTAATACCTTCTCAGCTTCGCATCGAAGCTAAAAGTTGTGTTCTTAATCTGGTCTTTATTAATAATAATCAACAAAAATCAAATAATGTTTTTTTTATCGACATTTTTTATGTTTTAATAACGACGATACGATTTTTTAAAAAATATTAGCAGCTATGGTTGGTGACTATGTTGCCAACAATTCTAGATTTTATTTAACTTGATAAGTATACGTGATTACAGATACAAATCAGTAAGAATTAAACTTGTGTGAAAAAAATGTATAACTGTAGTAGTAAATCTATGATATACGTTGTCATATAAATATGTTCGTGTAAACATTGTTTTATGTACCCTTCATTAAAAAAACTCTTCATACACTAAATATAGTATACTGACTAATGAGATATAAAATGTAAAACTGAAATAATATAAATATATACAAAAATTTATACATTTATATTTATGTATATATAACTAAAATACAAACAAAATTACTCATACTACAGTTGATAAAAATATTAATCATCTTTCAATAATTGGAAGATGATTAATATAATAATAACAATTATTATTATACTGAAAATTAAAAAGCTACTGTCTAAAAACTGTTAATTCCATTTTAAATAATATTGATAAATATTATGATAAGGAAAAGAGCAAAGTATTATTTACTTAACGACAAAGTAAAGTAACATGAGTAAACATTGCAATAATACATTGCAACAAAAATTAAATTAAATTTTGTTAGAAATCATTGTATTAGCTTATCTAGTATTAACACGAAAGATAAATGACCGTTTACTAACAATATATGACACAAGATGAGTAATAAACATATTTACTTATTATTTTATTGTTATATACAGTACCTGTTTATTTATCTTATTGTAATCAAATGTATTTTGTTACAAATAAAATCATTTCTTACACATATGTGATAAAATATGATAGTTTAATGTTAATACTATGTTAAATTATTTATAGAATCTTAAGTAGATCAATAAAAATGACACTGATATCAGTTTAACTACATAACCTACCAAAAAACTATTTAGATAAAGTCATCAAATATTAATTTCTATTGAGATTTAACATTTGAGTTACGGTTGGCTCCTGCAATACAACATCGCTTACTACTTTCTCGTATATAAGATTATGGTCACAAAAATATTATGAAAAAATAATGTACTAAATATTACTAATATTGTTTATACATTAAGATCACGCTATAAAGTTGAATTTATTTTAGCAGTAAAAATCAAAAGGAACACGCAATTGTGAAAATATACAGTTATTCGATTATATAGCTACGACAAAAAACGGTTTCTCTCTTTTATCGTGTATAATGACGTGATATATGATAATGTGATGATTTATTCTGAAAAAAAAATTAAATTGACTATAGGTACTCACATATCAAACTTTTGTCCAATAAATGTTTTCGTAAATTCAGCCATGTCACAATTTCTTTTTTGAATAAATAAAGACTGACATATAAAAAATGTATCGATCAAACACGTTTAACTTCATTTGACCTACTATGAGATTTCTGCGTGCTCTAATTTAGAACGGCTGCAATTTTTTTAAGTTTTTATAACATTTCTGATATTTTTCTAAAAATGAGGCTCGCAGGGTCCTAGCTAGATGAAGCCTAGTATTTATATATAAGAACTGCTATTTTTAATTGAAAATAATTTTGAATTATTATATTAAACTGAAACGAATACAATGCTATAAATATTAGAACATGAAAGTTAACATTCATTTTAAAACATAAAAACATTTGTTTTTAATTAGTCATCTAAAGAACGTAAATGGTTATGTAACACTATCCTCTACAGGTATAAGGAATGTTGACAACTTATTTGTTATAAATAATTAATTACTAACTTAATTTTATATTTCAATGAATTTAATTTAACTAAAATAAATCTTTTATTGATACTTCTTTTAATATTATCATCAACGTAGGGTATAGTGTTTTATTAATATTACAATGAAATAAATGAACAAATTAAAAGATGGACTATACTTTTATTTGGATGTAAATAAAAATATAATATTATGTTATAGAAAAAATTTTACAACGAAAATCATTGTTACAAGAATGTTTAAACACTTGAGTAGAACAAAATAAAAATAGGTAAGATAAACGGAGATCTATTATTAATAAAAAAACACTTGAATTCGAAGCACGAATAGAAATGAGTTAAGATATTGAAGGTTAAAAAGTATTGAAATGTAGTATGAAACTATTTTTTAAAATAACTTTTTATTAAATTAATTATTTTCAGAAATTATACCTTTTCATCATAATTTTTAACTTACAATCATTTTTAGAATTCAAATTAAAATTATATATATTATTATAATAAATATTTTATTTCGGTTTATCTATTTATTTATAAACTATTAAATTAATATTTTTTTTGTGTTATATTTTTAATTGTTATGTCGCTGCATACCTTTTTATGAAGTAGTATTCCACTACACCATAAAATGTTTTATGTTTTTTCAAAGAGATTACAAATTAAAAATAAACCAGAGAAATTTGTTACAATTTATTGTTTATTTAAAGACGTTATTTAAAATATTTTTTAATAAACTCTTAAAGATATGTCTTGGTATCAACAATTGATTTATGTCTATTCATTAATAGTATTTTGTAACTGGGAATAGAAAATAAGTTCTTTAATTTTTGTACAAGAACATTAATTAACATTGATTATAAAATTATTGGTACTTTTATTACTTTGAGTTAATAAAATTAAATTTATTTTTAAGTGCTCAAAAAAATTATCTCAAATATAACAATAATAAGGAGGGAGGGATTGGATTGTAATTTTACTTTTAGGGTGATTTTATATTTTTGTAAATATTATTATATAGAGGACCCGTATATTTTCAATCATTTTATGAATTTTAATTATAGCTGATGCTGGTAGCTAATAAATAATAGATACTTATTAGTTTTAATAAATTCAATTTAGTAAGCATATATTTTCGTATAAAAAAAGTGGAACAAATTACGTCTTACATAACAAATGTTTTGTATTTAGACAAAGTGCCAAAAATTATAGCTGAGCAATAGTTGTGACATATTGATTCTACTACGGTAAAATGCTTCGCAATATAATGGAAGCGTATTATTTGTACATATTTTACTGAACTGTATGATTTTTAAGCACATATAACTGTTCTCATAAATAAAATATAAGTTAACGGCCATAATTCTATTAAAATATCCTTAAGGGAAGCTATTGCCTCTGTTATATAGTGTTTAGTAAGTAAGGAAATGGGTCAGTTGTTACAAACAGTAAGAACAACGGAAACCCATTTCCTTACTTACCGAACAGCCTTAATATTATAGCTGAATTATTACTAGGGTAACTATTTAGCCATTGGGCATAATTCATAAAATTTATTATTCTATAACAACTTATTAGGAGATTTAAGCGTTTTTTAAAACTAAAAAAACAAATTGTTCGAGAAAACAGATTGTTTAGGAAATAGAAAAGTAAAATTTAAATAAATGAACTACTCATATCGGTTTTGATTAGTCATCTATATTACGATAACAGCTGTGCTAGGTAGGTAACTATTTTATGTTCAGCGACATTTTTTAGCAAACTCATCGAATTCAAACTATATCAACTTTTTGTCAGCATACTTAGATTCGAGTACAATAGAATACTGTGTATTTAACGAAAACTTGATTTTTTTAATAATATTTTTCACGAAAAACACTATTAGAAATACTACAACTTTTAAAGATAAAAATAACTCAAATATAATTGTTATTATTAAAATTAATTATAACTACTATTTAACTATTCATATAAAATTGACGTGTAAATATTAGAAAATATTAAATAAATAAATAAGTAAAAAAATTAATAGAATTAAATTGTGAGAAAAAATTTGATGGCCCTTAACAAATAAATTAATGTTGGATTCAATAGCTGTGATAATATATATGAAAGTATAAAAATAAAATAAAATCATTGATTATAAAGATTTTAGAGGTCGTTCTTCAAAGCTTACTGAAACAACTTATTTTCTTTATTCTTATCAGTTGCGCAGTATTAATATAACTATTGTTGTTGATGCATTACCAACTATCCACTATTAAAGATTTACCATTGGTGTATTATAAATCGTTCAATAACATTAAAATATCATCATCGATAATAACAGCAGCAGCAGCCAGCTGCAACATAACACGGATAAAGTAATACCATAATAGTTACCCGATGATGACTAATACATATATAAAGGAACCTATAATCACTGCCTTCGCTTGGGTACAATTTTTTTTATCAATATACTAACTGCTCTAACGTCGCAGTTGTGGGCCCATTACGTATTATACATTCGAGTTCGTCAGACGCGTTGTCCAATAACAAATACTTTGCACAACCTTTGTTTTAACTTAAATCACTTATATATCGTGTGTGATTAGCGCACACTCGTTTTAAAACGGTAAGTTCGTGAAGCAATTTTAAAAATCCTGGATGAGTGAAATTTATTGAACTTTAACATGAAGAACGATGTACTTTGTTTTGTGGTCGTGTTTTTAGGATGCTTTCTTCTAGGTAAGATTTTAAAAGCTAAAATATATGACTATAAATAATTAGTATAAACAATGTACTTTTTATACAAATAATTTATTCGATCTGTAGGTGAATGTTTAAATATTGAAGAAATCGTTAATAAAAGAGGCGTACATTTAGTTGGGGAAAAAGAATGTACTTATGGCCCATCGTTTTGGTGTAAAAACATAACGTAAGTGAAAAGTATTTTTGAGTAAACAGTTTATTTTCTCATAAGATATTTATACGAATTTGAATTATTGGAAAATTCCTACTCAGTACTATTTATAAATAACTTTTTTTTATTTAATTATTATAGTATACCTACTATTTTGAATAGTTTCATTAAATAGTTTGAAGAAGAATTCTTAACTAATCACTATTTTGTAATTATTTTAACTAATTAAATGGGGTACTTAAAATAAACACGGAAACAAATAATAAATTGTATATACAAAATTTTATTAAAAATTGTGGAAAAATGACTATCTAGACTCTTAATGATTTGTGTTACATATTGAGATGTTAAAAATAGATTAGATAATTCCATCTGATATTTCATGTTATGATGTTTTAATTTATTTAATGTTAACATCCAATTATGAATTAAAAAAAAAGTCAATGTCAAAATATAAATATAAACGTCAAATAGCTAGTAAGATTTATGATTTTAGTTTTACCTTAAGTACTAGTTTTTATATTATTAGGTTACAAACTATGTAGAGTTGATAAGAAATTTTACTAAAAGTCTTGAGCAAAAAATTCAGTATTGTTACAAATTTTTTATGGAATCTTTTTATATTTATTATATAAGTTGTAGGATTCAAACTAAATATTTATTTTTAATCTATATAACACATATATCGTTAGTTCCTAAAAATTTCTTTTTAACTTAAAAATTAAATCTAATTTGAATTATTATTTATTTATTTAATAACTAGTCTCAATAAAAATAAATATAAGATATTTTAATAAATTATTCTTAACTTCAACAAATCGTGCTGTAGTATAAATTCTAAAATTAAAACCTAACAAAAAAACTAATATTTTAATAATTATTTAATATTTGTGCTTCAAATTTTGGTGAACAAAATGGTAGTAGTAATCAGTATTAACATAAAATTTAATTATTTATTACTGTAGCTTCTATCATAAAACTAGTTAACCTTGAGTTCCAGAAATAATGAAATAACGAATGTTTATGTATTATCATTATTATTTATAATTTTTTTTTGATTGTGTAAATTAAAACTTCTGCATCTTAGTTAAGCCATTAGTTCTTTTTTATAATTAAACAGAAATTTATCAATATAATAAAATAAAATAAAATAAAATAAAATAGTTTATAATAAAACTGGTTTTGTTTTTTTTTCTCATGAATTATTGTGTATTATAAAAATAACCAATAATTTTGTTATTAAATGTTTAAAACAAATGACCCAAATGCTATAATTTTTTATTAAAATTATGATTTATTGACAACTTAAGCTGTTAATACATAATTAAATTAAAAGTTCTTTTAAATAGTTTTGAAAATATAAAATAAGCTAAAAGTCACAATGCGCGTCTATGTTTTAATAAAACAGTATTCTGTGTTATGAAAATGAACTTATCACTAATTATATTAAATTTAAAGAAGTTAATTTTAGTTACAAAATTAAGAAATATTGAACTTTATCATTTTTTTTATAGTATTATTATTTAAGATAGTTTAACAATTATATCCTATTAAAAAAAAAAAAAGTGAAATAAATATTAGTTATAGATTTACTACAATAAACTAGAAAATGATATATTATGTTTTATTCTGTTTATTATCTAATTTCAATTTTTTTTTTTCTAAAGCATTTTATATTTTCTTTTATAATACTTATAAAATAAAATAAATTATTCATACTTCTTAACGGTATGAAGTTCTATATTTACATTTTATAGACAAATATTTTTATGTACTATTAGTCAAGTAAGATAGACATAAACAATTTTAATTAATGCCTATAAATTAAGTATCAAGTTAGTGTGTCAAAATAAAATAAAATATTTGTAAATGTGTTACAATTTTAGCACAGCTTCGGGTTGTAAAGCTGTTAAACATTGTATTCAAACAACATGGCTAAATCAAAAGTATCAAGAAGACAATGATGATGTTTGTACTATTTGTAAAAATATGGTACAAGAAGCTCGTGATACTCTTACTAGCAATGGAACTATGGTATTTTATCATTATTTGATATTTATAATTATAACAATGATTTATTAATTACTTTGAAAAATTATATAGGAAGAGATACAGCAAGTCTTCTATGGATCTTGTAATTTACTACCTCTTAAAATTGTAAAAGTAGAATGCAAGAAATTAGCTGATGAGTTTATACCTGAGCTAGTTGATACTTTAGCCTCAGAAATGGATCCTAATGTTGTATGTACAGTATCTGGATTATGCAACAATGATCGAATTGATAAACTTCTTCAAGAAAACCACCAAAAGAAAGTACTATTTCCTATTAACATTTAACTATTAAATTTAACCATTATTAACATAACAAACATTTTAGAAACTTGGACTTGATTTTTATGATGAAGAATATCATTCATGTGAAAAATGTGCAGTTGTAATGGAAAAATTAGAAAATATGATACAAACTCACTCAAAACAAGACATTTTACATAAAATTTGGAATGTTAGTATTTAAAATCAATCTTATAGTTACAGTTTATAGATCTTTTGTATTTAATTTAAATGTTTTCAAATTAGTTATGCGGAGAGTTAAGTACCTTCTCTGATGCATGCAGTGCTATTGTACTAAAAAATTTTGATGCTATATATGATAGACTTAAAACTGGATTCAATAAGAAAAATGTATGTATGTTAAGTGGTATGTGTTCAGAAGCATTTCATCCACATGCTGATGGTTACAAGGTGAGTTATTTACATTGCTATTTAATAGTAAGTAAAATAACTAAAATTTTATGATTTGTTATTATTGACTGTTTACTAGAAATCTCAAAATGCTATGATGGGTGTTGAAATTAGTAGTGCTGGTGAAAGAGGGATAATTAGTAGTAAACAGCAGAATAAGGTTGGAGATGATTTAACTTGTGAATTTTGTGAACAATTAGTTAAACATCTTAGAGATATCCTTATTTCTAATTCAACAGAAGAAGAATTTTATGATGTTTTAAAAGGATTATGTAAACAAACAGGAAGTTTTTCACAAGAAGTAGGTTTTATAAAAAAAAATAATAATAAAAACATGTATTAATTGAATATTTTTTTTAGTGTTTGTCTTTGGTTGATCAAAACTATAAAGTTATTTATACGTTCCTTACCAGTGAACTAGATGGTAAAGTTGTTTGCAAAGACGTTGGAATTTGCCCTACCACCTTGACTGGTTCTATGGCTATAAATTACAAAAACCAAGTGGTGAGTTTTTTATTTAAAATGAATTTGATTATTTTAAGTTAAATAATTTAAATAAAAATATTTTTTCAGCCACTCTTTCCTCTTCTACCCAATGAGCTCTTAGAAAAAGTATCTTCCTTTAAAAAAGAAGGAAATGTCCAAACTGTTGAGAAATCTCCTGTCATTGATGTAATTTATGAAAATATTCATGTCAAAGGTATCTATTATTTGATTGTATTAATTTAAAATTTAATTTTGTTATGTTATGTATAATTTTTTTTTTTTTTAAGTTAATAAAGTTGATTTGCCTAAAGATAAAACTGCATGTTTTGTGTGTGATTCTATTTTGCATTACGTTCAACAAGCTGTGACAGATCCCAAATCAGAAGCTGAAATACGCAGTGCTTTAGAATCATCTTGCACAGTATTACCAAAATCTTTTTCTGCAGAATGTAAACAGTTTGTTGATCAATATGGAGATGCATTTATTTCATTAGTTGCTCAAGAAGTAGATCCATCAATTGTAAGTTTTCAAAACTATTTATTAATAATAATAGTTTTTATAACAATTGTAGTTAAACTTAAATTATTTTAATTTAATTTTAGATTTGCCCAGAACTTAAATTATGCCCTGTGAAAAATATTTCTTTAGTTTCTGATACCAAAAGTTCTGAAGCATGTCCAATGTGTGTTATGTTTATGTCTGCTTTAAAATCTGAAATAACTAACAAAGACAACGAGGTACACATAATTAATACAACAATTTTTTTTTTTTTTTCTAATTATTAGTTTTATTATCAGGCTGAAATTACTAAAAAACTAGAAAAATTATGTTCTAAACTTCCCTCTCACTGGAAAAAAAATTGTACTTCTTTGGTTGATACTAATTTCCAGCAAATTATTGATATGATAACAGCTGAATTAACTCCTCAAGAAATATGCACACTTTTAAAAATTTGTGAACCAGCTTCTCTGTTAGATTATTCTGGAGACATAGGTAACTATCAATTTATGCCATTAAAATAGTAGATATTGTTTTTTAGCTTTGATGTGTAGTTCAATAGTTATTGATTTTACACTGTCGTGTTTTTTTTTCATTTGTATTCGTAATAAAAGATTAATCTGCTCCTACTGGACAAAATGTATATAGTTAAAGTTATCAATACCATATTTTTAAATATTCCCCTCAGTTCTGATTATAGAGAGAAATTTCTCAAAAAATTACAGTTGTCATAAATAAATCAATGTTGATGTTTATAATCTTCACTTTATAATTGGAATTTTTTGAAAACTGGATGGATTATTGCTTAATTTTTATTGACAATACTTTTGACATTAACCGTGTTGACATCTGACTTCATATTACACTACTGTATGATTAAAATGTGAAAGGACTTTCATTGACTTATCTACTCTAAGTTATCTGAGATATTAAAAATGATAATCATGTATTTTTTAATTGATATTATAAATCAATCTAATTATTTGATTAATACATGAATCAAAATGAAAAATTCATATATATCTATGTGGAATATCATATCCATCAAAAATTACATGATTATCAACTTTAAAGGCCAATTACTCATAGAAGAAAAGTTGTTGGAAAGTCTTTCTTCTTTTTATTGTATAGTTTATAAAAATAATCTTAAATTTGATTTAGCTTTAAATGTTTCAATGATTTAGATTTTCAGTTTCTATACATTGAAGCTAAAATACTTTATTTAATATTTTAGAATTATTCTTAAAGCTGTTGGTTTTTTTACTTAATATTATTAATGAAAACAACTCTAACATTTTCAGAAACAAATATGATTGCTAAGACAGATAAAGTTACAATTGTTTTTCCAGGACTAAATATTGGACAAATGATCATAAATGATTATAAGATGCCTGTTAAATCTAAAGTACCTACCCCATTTTGTCTTATATGTACAGTTTTAATGAAATATTTAAATAAAGTAGTAGAAGACAAATCAAACCAGGTGAATTATTTTATAGTTTGTCATGGTATCACTTTTTCAATAACTGTAAAAAATATAATATTAAATTAAGGTAACTCTTCCGCTGCTGATGACTGATGATTTGACAATTAAATAAAAAAATGCAACCATACATTATTTAAAAACTATTTAAACTATTAAGACCTGGCTATCGTGGTTAATTGACTCCAGTATGCCCATTAAGATTTAATTGTCAAAACGTCAGTCTCAGTATTTAGTTGTTGCTGTCTAACTTTACACTTTAACAAGTTGTTTGAAAAGTTCTGATTTTCTGAATTTAAATGTGATTGTTCAGACATAAATGATGCTGAATGGTCAGGACGCCTAAGTGAGGCAGTTATACCAGAAAACATTAAAAAAATTCACAAACTCGTAAAGTGAAAGTGCATGAGATAGCAGAAATTTTAAAGATCTCAATTGACTGTGTACATAATATTTTATATGAACATTTGGGTTTGAGAAAGCTATGCTCGAAATGGGTGCCGCATTTGTTAACAATGGACCAAAAACGTGTTGATGATTCACAGAGTTGTTTGGAATTATTTAACAAGAATAATAAAGAATTTTTGTGTAGAGATATGACGATGAATGAAATGTGGATCCACCCTACCACTACACTTCTGAAACATAACATCATGGACTGAATCCCCTAAAAGCGGCCAAAAACCTAACAATAGGCAGGCCAGGTTATGGTCTCGTTATTTTGGGATGTACTTGAAATTATATTGATTGATTATTTTGAACATGCTAAAACAATCAATAGTGATAACTACATTGTGTTATTGGAGAATTTGCAGGCTGAAATCACAAAAATAAAAGGCCGCGTATGACAAAGAAAAAAAAACCTATTTCACTAAGACAATGCACCGTGTCACAAACCATTAAAAAGATGGCACAAATGCATGATTTAGGCTTTTAATTGCTGCTTTACCCATCATATAATCCAGATCTGGTTTCAGCGACTACTACCTCCTCACAAATCTAAAGCTGATGCTCTTGGGAAAAGGATTCAGCTCGGAATGAATAAGTCACCACCAAAACTTAGGCATATTTTAAAGGCAAAGCTAAATCGTTCTATTTAAAATGCATGGAAATGTTAGAAAGTCGCTGGAATTATTGTATCACTCTCGAAGGAGACTATGTCGATGAATAAATTCAAATTTTGCGAAAAGAAAGTGTTTTTATTTGTTAGTCCCGGGACTTTTTGAACAACCTGTTAGGTCAAGAATTAGTTGTTCCATTCTTGATGCCTTTACCTAAATTCTTTTCTCTCCTGATTAACTTATTTACTTGTATCAAAACTGTTTAATATAATATAGTTTTAAAATTTCATTTTTATAAATAGGAGAGTATTAAAAATGTGATAGATTCAGCTTGTAAAATTTTACCTAATGTGGAAGAAAATGAATGTATAGATTTTGTCAATCAACATTACTCTCAAATTATTATGGCCGTTGAAACGGCTACTGATCCTGGTATTGCATGTATGGCCATGTTGGTGTGTGTTGAAGCTGAAGGTTTGTCAAAATATAGAAAAAGGTCAATCAAAATTTGGTATAATTTATAAATATGACATTTATGTTACAGTTGAAAAACCTGCTGATAAAACATTACAAGTTTCCAAAGCTATGTCAGAATTAGATTTTTCATCTGAGTGTGTTGTCTGTGAAGCTTTTGTTAAAGTTTTGGATCGTAATTCAAAAAAACTTTTAGGAAAAGCTGATGAAATTGATCTTGTTGATTTATGTGATGAAATTGATGCTGCCCACAAAGAAAAGGTATAATTTTATATTTTGTTATTACTATTGTATCCTTATTTATTGCTAATATTATTTAAAATCCAATGCAGTTTATCATAATTCTAAAATACTAGTGTATTGTAGAATAATAGTGTGCAATATCAGTGCAGTGTTCTAGGTCCCCAGTTCAAATCTTACTACTAGCTTCTTTTTGCTCTATTATATATCCAATATATTTATAAGTCTATTCTTGATGGCCGTGTCTAACTGGTTGTTTTGTATTAGCTGCCATTTTCACTTTACAATAATTTATGACTATAAAAATTAATTAAACCAAACAATTTAATTTGATACTGAAAATTTTTATTTATGTATACTTGGTATATTCTCTCAAGTATAGTAAAATTTGTTATTACTTTTATTATTCGTTTATAAAGAGATTAGGTGTTGTGATACTTAAGTGTTCCTTTATTTTAAATTTTTTTTTAAATCTTTACAAAATAAAACTATTATATAAAACTAATATAGTGTTTGGAGATGGTTCCATCTTATGGGCAAACTTTCCAAAACCTTTATTATCAAGTTCCTACGTGGATGATGTGTGAAAAAATAACCATGTGTGACAAAAATAAAAGTGCAGCTGTAAATCAATTAGAAAATTCAGATTGTTTGTTGGGTTTCTCATATTGGTGTTCATCAAAAGAAAATGCAAAATCGTGCAAGGTAATTATATTTATTGTGTTTATGATAAATTGAATTTAGTTTTGGATAAATCTAATTCACAGGAACTCAATATTCATTTAACTGTACAACTAGTACTACTGTTCTATTTTATTTTTCTTTAAGATAAAATAATAAAAATATAATAATTTATTAGATCTAAATAATTATTTTAATTTAAATCTCTGAACCATGATTTTATTTTTATAAAAGTTTTAATTTAATTTTACTTGTTTTAATGTATAAACAATTTATTAAATTTAAATAATATTACTATAAAAATTTCTACTTAACTAATATTAATTTTGTGATTTTAGGCTGAAAAGATTTGTGAACGTAATACATGGAAAGTACAAATCATCGAAAATTAGAAATATTAATTAAAGTGATATTGTTGTATAAATAACTAAAATTCATTTTATGATTCAACCATTAATTTTATGTTAAAAAATTATCTTACACTTAGACTTTGATTATTTTATGAATTATTATTACTATTATTAAATTAATAAGTATTTTGATAATTATTATAAATTTATAAATGCTGTGTACTTGGCGTTAATGCTATTAATAAATTATATTTTTGGAGTATTGGTTATTACTTTTTGATATTTTATTTCTCATTATAAAGTACATCACTTAGCTAATTAAACTAATACTTTTATAAATAAAATTTTTGGATGTTTAAAAAGAAAAAACTTGAAATTTTTTATAGTACTAACTACTAGTAACTTTGATTTTTTAACTATTGTTTATTTTTCTATGTAATTCTCATTACTCATGATAAAGGTCGAATCTGTAGAAAAATGATAAAAGTCATACCTAACCTTTTGTTAGTAAATAAATGTATTATCGTCATAGGGGCTGGTACCTCTAAATTTAGTTGGAGGATCGTTAATTAACATTCCCATAAGCTTTGCCATACTGTGAAAATTTATCTAGTTTATATAATAATATTTAATGTATAAAACTTCATACCAGTTATATTTTATTTTATCTTATAGGACACCTTGTTAAACTTCATGAAAGTCAGTTGTACAGAATTTCGTTTAAATAAAAACAAAAAAGTCAAGTCATTTATTGTAGGGGCATTGATAAATGAGTGCAGAAACCAAAGTAATTTATTCAAACATTTAGAAACTATAATTTATGTTAATAAATAAAGTCGAAAATTTTTCTTAATTATACTTAGGTATTGAAAAGAATGAAGTTAAAAATGTTAATTTTTATATAACTATCAAATTTATAATTTTTGAACGAGGGTTGGGTATTAATATGCTTTGTGTATATTAATAATTTATTAGTTATATTATTAATTACTATAAAATTGTGAATATATTTTTAGTCGAGGTCATGAAATACAAGGCATTTCATCCAAAATGTACAATATGTAAGGATATAATTAATGATATAAAAGCAAAAATTGAACATTCTCCAGCAGAGGTAAGCATTATTACTTATAGAATATACAATTAACTAAAAGTAATATCTTTTTGTTTTAGAAAAGTATTGTTTACAGACTAAAATCCCTTTGTAATGTCTTACCTAATAAAGATGATTGCATTTCATTTATTGAGAAATACAGTGAAAAAATAATAAAAACTATTATTGATGATATAAATACTCAACAAATTTGCATAGAAATAGGATATTGTTATTCTTAGTGTCATTTTGAATAATTTCCATCAAATTATATTTACCTATAAATTTTCTTATACTATTTTATATTTTACCAGAGTAAATTTTCTTAAGTGTATTTTAAATAAAGAACATAATATTTATACAAATAAATTTGTTTTTATACTTATATATATAAAAATGCATACATTTTATATTTCAAGTGAATAATACAACAAAAAAATTGTACAACTTAAATTTTTTATGCAATTTATGACAATATTAAATTAATACAATATTGATGAAAAATAATTATAATTAAAAAAAAATAGTCTAGTTTTATTTTGTTTAATAAAATAAAATCATACCATTGTCATACTTTGAAACACTCACAAAAAGTAGTAAATAGAATTTTTTTTAAAATTTTTTGTATAATTACAATTTTGCACCAAGCAAAGATATAGTTATCATTCTAAGAAAACCAAGTTAATTTAATTAGCTTACAAATATCAATTATTACATTTAATAGTCTTGGGTATTGAATTAACATTATTGAGGTTTTTGTGATCCCTTTTTACCAATAAGGGATTTATGAATGTGTGGAATAACACCTGAAATAATAATATTAATTAAGTATATAAATTATTTGTAAAACTATTAATTAAAATACCTCCTCCAGCAATTGTTGCCCTGATCAGGGTATCTAATTCTTCATCTCCTCTGATAGCAAGCTGTAAATGACGGGGTGTGATACGTTTTACTTTTAAATCTTTAGAAGCATTACCAGCCAATTCAAGTACCTAATATTATAAAATACAACAAATATTGATTAAACACACAATGATAAAATAAAATAAAATAAAATATTACCTCAGCGGTCAAATATTCTAATATGGCAGCACTGTAAACAGCAGCAGTAGCTCCAACACGGCCGTGACTAGTAGTACGATTTTTTAAGTGACGATGAATTCTTCCAACAGGGAACTGAAAAATTATTTAAACTAAAGTAGTAATTTTTAATTTATATCTAAAAATAATGGAATCATAAAATTACAAGTGCAAAGTAAAATATCTGCTACAATTTAAATTGTTACCTTTAAAGATTGGTACTAATAATTGATAAACTACTAAAAAGTTTTTTATCATATCTTATTAATCTAACCTTAATTTTAATTAACAAATCAAAATATTAAATTTAAAAGAACTACCTTCTTTACAAATAAATAACTATAATATGACTATATAAAATTATACCAATAGGAAAAAACAAATATTAATACTTAAATTTAGGAATTTGACAGTTTCTTCCAAAATTTTATAACAATGAAAATAAAGAAAGTTTTTTACAGAACCTAACAGAAAGAAAAATAACACCTCTTAACATATGTCAAGTAAATAATTATTTATATAATAATAATTTAATTTTTAATTATTAAAAAAATTTAATTCACTATTTTAAAGCAATTTAGTTTAATCAATTTAAATGTAAATAGAAAATTATTACACGAGACTAAATATTAAATAAAACCATTATATAAGAATTTTTAAGGATTGTATAATAACTACAAATAAAAATTTCAGAACTAAGAATTATTAAAACCATAATAAAAAACTTTAAAAAGTTTGAAATGTCAACAACACAAATTTTGGTAAACTGTATATACAAATACATTAATAATTCATATATATATTTTTAAATGACTAAGTCTTAAATTATCACTATAACTCATCAATCCTAGAAACTTGAGGTAAGTACACACTGAAATATTTTACTTAAAAATTATAGTTCACATTCATTTAAGGAATAGAAAAGTTAACCAAACTGGTAGTTTCCATAGCAACTCTTGTGTACTCGTAAAAATTCAAAAAAAAAAAAAAAAAA